ATCACCAAATCATTATATTTAATTTTAAATTTACTTTTTCATTAAATAGAATTAACACGACCGGTGTTTATGAACCATGATGAAAATGAATGAATTGTATACAAAATGTGATAGACAGACTAGCTTATTATATAATCATTCTTATTTTGACCTTGAAAAAGTACTTTTTTACATTCTTCTTAAAAACAAAGGTTGCCAACTGACATGTGTGCCTATGACTAATTTCATATAATGACAAAGATCAAGGAATTTGTTTTTTTTCTGAAATTGCACACCCAAAGTGTTAAACATGTTTCACATTTAAATCTGTGGGTTCTGCCATACTTGTACTATATATATATATATATATATATATATATATATATATATATATATATATATATATATATATATATATATATATATATATAAAATATGATTTCTGTAAATACCTGATCTTTAGAACTGATACCACACATACTAGTAAGACCAATATATTTCCTCGTGTGCCTACAGTCACTCATCTTTGACAATTTCACTTTATTCTGGAAGACACACTTTTGGGAACAATCCTGTAACTTTCAATTGTAAATTTTTGTTTTTCTTTCAAAATTTTCGAAACTTCCAAATTAAAAAAAAAAAATGCTGTTGAAAGGTGGGGTATTCAGATTGACCAAGGCTCGACATCACAGAAAAGCTAATATCATCTAAAACTATTTCATTGACCCCCACCACCATCAAACCTAGCGCCCCCCCCCCAAAAAAAAATATATATATATTAAGTATTTGAGAGTTATTATAATTGTTACCAAATTTACCCAAATTTACAATATATACTCACAACCATAGAAACACTTAAAAGCATGTCATCAAACAATAACAAGGTGTATAGATACCCATGTAAAAGGTATCTTAAAGGCGTGACATGTACAATATACTTAACATGGGAGTACAGGAGTTTTAAGATGTTCATTTCTATGTTGACATATCACTATCTCCAGACACACAGTGCCTCCCATACTGCAATGAGGTAACCAAGTTGAATTATGGAATGTTTTAAATGACACTGAACAAGTCCCAAGGTTATAGCTTTTTTTTTTTTTTTTTTTTTTTTTTTTTGGGGGGGGGGGGGGGGGGGGGGGGGGGGGGTGGGTGGTTTAGGGTCCCAAGTT